TCCTAAGAACATCTCAAGTCTCCACTAAGTGCAGCTCCCATTTCCCCTGTCCAGCCCCTCCTCCACTGGTGGTGCTCAGTGTTTGGGGGTGGATGCCCGGGTGGGCAGTAGCTTATTTCTGGTGGCTGCTCCACAGGGCCTGGACCCCCAGGGCCCGGCTGGGAAGAAGAAAAATATACATTTAAAAGTATACTCTATATAAGAGAGACTCAATGTTTGAATCAAACATAAAAGAAAAGAAATAGGTCTTGAGTAAAGATGTTGAAGTCTCAACAGTCTCAGTGGTTTACTTGAAAAGTAAACCGTTCCAATGTTTAGAGCAGTACATAACTCATTACATCTGAATTTTAAGCTGGATTATTGGAACATCTAAGAAATTTGGGGGACTACAGTATTCTAACTTGAGTGAAGATGTTATGAAGATCACAGAGATAGGATCAGGCCAAACCGTTTACTATTTTAAAAGCAAAGCAAGCAAAATAAATCTTAAAATCAGTCCTATCGCAAACAGGAAGCAGATCATAGCTGTCTAGAACCAGAGATATCAGCTTTTGTTTTAAAGTATCTGTTAAAATATGAAATGCCACATTTGGACAATTTGTAAGCCAGGAAAAGATGAATTATCTTATCAAACATTCTAGACAATACAATAGTCCAATCAGGAAGTATTAACAGCATGAATCAATGTTTCTTTGGTGGGAAACAACTAGACTTTATGATTGTATTTATCCTTTTGTTTAGTTTTAAAGCACTATCTAAAATGAAACCCAGATTTATGACAGCAGAATGACTAGAGCTAAGGGACCCAGACTGTCAAGGGTTAAATATTTCTCTGTCATTATCTTTGCGCTGATGCCTGTCTCATTCTCCTGTCTAGCTCCATCCATTTTCTAGTGACCGTTCATCTGATCCATCTGCTCCTGCTTCTATTTAACCTGCCAGTTTCCAGTCATCATGGCTGATAAATCTCGAGCCAGTGGTGAGAGCTTTTCAGCGTTACCTCGGTGTTTCTGATTACCTGTTCTGCATTACCTTAGAGTTTCGGATTACCTGAACCAGACCTGTTCTGCCTCTCCACCACCAAGCCCTGCTGTTCCCGGCTGATCTGTTTTTACCTGCCTGCTTTCAGTTATCAGGTGAGATTATTCTCGAGACAGTGATGAGAATGATTCAGCATTACCTTAGAGTTTCGGATTACCTGAACCAGACCTGTTCTGCCTCTCCACCACCAAGCCCTGCTGTTCCCGGCTGATCTGTTTTTACCTGCCTGCTTTCAGTTATCAGGTGAGATTATTCTCGAGACAGTGATGAGAATGATTCAGCATTACCTTAGAGTTTCGGATTACCTGAACCAGACCTGTTCTGCCTCTCCACCACCAAGCCCTGCTGTTCCAGGCTGATCTGTTTTTACCTGCCTGCTTTCAGTTATCAGGTGAGATTATTCTCGAGACAGTGATGAGAATGATTCAGCATTACCTTAGAGTTTCGGATTACCTGAACCAGACCTGTTCCGCCTCTCGACCACTGGGCCCTCCTGTTCCCATCCGATCTGTTTGCCTGAGCTGTCTATGGACTTCTGCTGGATTTTGCCTGTATGAAATTGGAACTGTTTTATGTCATCAACCTCGATTTCTCTTTGGAACCTTTCATAACCTAGTTCCGAATTCTGAGCATCTCCTCGACACCACCTTTGGCAGCAGCCTCTGGATTATCCTGCCCTCCTTTTTCTGCCCAGATCTGGTCTCCTGCTTGTTTTTCATCCTCTGGGGCTTTGGCATCTAGGAGACTGCGTGGCTCCCACTGCATATCTTCGGCAGCCCACAGACTGGATCCTTCCTCGTTCTCTGGTCGAGGATGGAACTATTAAGTCAGGTTAGTGACTCAAGTTCATAATCTTCATCTGCCAGCTTTACGTGGTCATTAACCCGTGTTTCCTTTCTGCAGATGTTGCTGCCCTAGACACCCTAGCCGCTGCTACTGTAGATCAAGCTTTTTTTTAACAAACATTTGAATTTTCTGTCTGTCTGCCTTAGACACTGGATTCTCTGTTCTGAGCCATGGCAATCCCAATTGCATCTAATCCAAATTGCATCAGATTTCATTCATAAAAAAAGGAAGAAAAAAAAATGTAACCAGATTTTAAAATCAATTGGACAGTTTAAGGGTGGTTAGGAGAATTTGATAATTATATTAAGGATCCACATTAGTGAGGGGGAGTGACAGCCTAGTGGTTAGGGCATAGAGCTTGGAAACCTGAGGTTCTGAGTTAGAGCCCCACTCCCACAGACTGCCACTCTGGCTCCCTGAGCAATACCCTTAACCCCACACTGCTCTCCGGGCACCGCACAATGGCAGCCCACTGCTCCACAAGAGGATGGGTTATATGCAGAGAATTCATTTAGTTGCTCTGTACTTGTGACAGTGGAATGACAATAAAGTTGAATTCTATTCTATTCATTAGCTGTTGCCACAGGAAACAGCCAGTCTTCCTGGGGTCCGGATTGAAAATATACAATACAAAAGCACAGTTACAAAATATTACATTTCCAAAAAAATGTCATTTCTTGACACAGGGTTTTAGCAATGATCAGAGAATGGAAAAAATAACTATTAAAATAAAACAACCAATAAAAAGAAGATAAAATAAAACATCCAATGAAATAAAATTTCAGGGCTCTAATGACCTCAGAAATTAGGACCCGATATCCAGATAGACAGACCGGGATGATTTTCAACAGGATTTATTTTAAAACAGAATAATTACAGTGAGTGGCTGGGCGTCAGTGGAACGAATACTCTGTAGAGATAGGAAACACTGGTCAGTGACAAGAATGCCGGGCTGATTGGGAATTGGAGCAAAAGTCACTGACCTAATTCAAAGTTCAGTCCATTTCTTGCGTCCATGGCTTCTTCCAGAACCCCGAGTGAAGATGAGCTGACTCCAGCCAATGCTGAGGGAGCAACAGTTTCCATGAGGGGAATCAAAGCTGAGATCAGTGAAACAGTCCAGGATCTGTAAACCAGCATAATCGAGGAAAAACAGTAAAAAAAAAAAAAAAAATCAAAAATAGACAGAGCAGACAAGGGCAAGGCAAAAACTCGAATAGCCAAATAGAAAATATGTCAGGATCAGAATAAGAGGCAAGACTCATTTTATCGCTAGTGTTACTCCCATAACAGCTCGAATAATCTCATATGATGTAATGTGTGAAATCTTCACAGTCTAGTTTAATTGAGACACTTTCTCAAAGTAATGGTGTTACTTTTGATCAGGACCTGCCATTTTAATCCCATATCATAGAGGTTTCTAGAATTTCCTTCTTTCATCTTAGGAATATTGCAAACATTAGAAATATCTTGTCCAGGGGTGATGCTGAGAAACTAGTCCATTCATTTTTGCTTCAAGGCTGGACTATGGTAATTCTTTTGTCATAGTTTTGGTTCTGTTATGTTTTCTTTTGTCTATTCTGTTTACTTTGTTCCATGTTTTCTAGTTTTAGTTGTTTAATTCTTATTTTGTTTTGTGTTCTGGTTATTTTCAGTTTTCAGGTTTTTATTTGTTGCCCTCTGCTGCCCTCTTGTGTTCCCCTTTTTCCCTAGCTCTTTTCCTGTTCTACTCACACCTGCTCTCAATCTGCTCTTTAAGTTCTCTCTTTGTTTCAGTCTCCCATAAATACACTCTCTGTTAAGTTCCTCAGTGCTGGTTCCTTGTCAAACTTCCTCCAACTCCGTCTTTCTGAGTCTTCCTCATCGTGATTGTTTTTTCCCCTGATGTCTCCATGGTATCTGGTTAGTTTGACTTTGTTTTAATGTCTTGATGTTTGGATTTTCCCTGCCTCTGTGTTTAGTTGTTTGTTTATTCATCATAAAGTCATCAAGAAACTCCCCTCTGCCTCCCTGCCTCTGCATTTGGGTCCACCAACCTCAACCAAATCCTGACATCTTTAATATCAGGAAGTCCACAAACTGTAGTCAAAAGCCTTCAGCTAATCCAAAATGCTGCAGCCAGAGTTCTGATGAAAATTTAAAGAGATCATATCTCTCCTATCCTGGCTTCTCTTTATTGGCTTCCTGTTAAATCGAGAATAGAATAGAATTTAAAATCCTCCTTCTCACATATAAAGCCTTAAATGGCCAGGTTCCATCTTATATCAGATATGATTGTTCCTTATGTTCCTAACAGAGCAATTCATTCTCAGTCGTCAGGTTTACTAGTGGTTCCTAGGATTTCTAAAAGTAGAATGAGTGGCAGATCTTTAAGTGATCAGGCTCCTCTCCTGTGGAACCAACTACCAGTTTTAGTCAGTGAGGCAGACACCCTGTCTGCTTTTAAGGCTAGGCTTAAAGCTTTCCTTTTTGATAAACCGTAGAGTTAGTGTGGCTCAGGATATCCTGAGCTATCTCTATAGTTCTGCTGCTATAGTCTTAGACTGCTGGAGGACATATGGCCTCATTTTCAGCATTCTATCTCTATTCTCCCACTCTGCAGAATCTGTTAGTTCAATCTGTAATGTTATGGTCTCTCTTCTTTTTCTCATAGTAGCTTTGCCTCATCGTTTCCTGTTTGGCTGTGACACCATCCTGGAGATATTTAACAGCTGTGCTGCTGCCATCAACACCTTTGTTTATAGATGTACGAGAAAGGCCTGTTTTTCAGTGTAGTCCTGTTTCTCTGACTGTGACTGGCTGGATGTGCTCTCCTCATCTTCTGACATGGGAGCAGACTCAGAGCTTGTCTGCCTGGCTGTGTGTTTCCTGGACGGGGCCGCCTTTTACAGCTCCCCTTTTATTCTCTGCTTCTCTCTCCTTGAACCCCAGTCAGCCTCGGCAGATGGCCGCTCACACTGAGCCTGGTTCTGCTGGAGGTTTCTTCCTGTTAAAAGTATTTCCTCTCCACTGTCCTTACAATAATGCTTATTGTGAGAGATTGCCTTCCAGTCAATGAGTTGATGCAGTTAACTGTTTTTTCTTAGATAAAAGTCTTCGAATCAATTTGACTGCATGATCTGATGAACTGTAAACTGCCTTGCGATGACATATGTTGTAAATTGGCGCTACATAAACTGAATTGAAAATAGTAATCATTAAAATGATTAGCAATATCACCTGGCTTTGTGAGAACAAATCCATTTGATTCAACAAAGGGTGTCCAAACTGTTAACTTCGAATTTCATTACATAAGTTCCACATTTCTCTACTATTGTGCTTCGAATGATATAGCCTTTCTTTAAAGTAGTCCTTTTTTTTTTTTACCTTATTTAATTTTGACTTGATGCGTCAAGTCAAAGCTGCGTCTAGCTGCATCTCTCTCTGCCATTAGCGTCCTAACACTAAGGTCAAGCAAAGGGAAAGGGAGGATATTTGTTTTCAACATCCATAATGTTGGGAGCTGGAGAAGTACCACCTTCCTCCAGCAGAGTCCGCCATAGATCCTCCTGAGTCGAGCCTCCTGCACAGCTGGAGCTCATTCCATCATTAGAGGATCCACAGTACTTAAGCTGTCTTCAGACCTTGCCTCAACGCCGCAGTG